TAATTTCAGTTATTTAACTGACAATGTGTGTATACTTTGAAATTTCAGTTATTTGATATACCACATGTGTAAAAAAATAATAAAAGGATTAAAAAGAGCTAAATAATAAATTCTAAGAACTAAAAATAGACTTTTTTAGTAGAATAACTAAAAAGAAATTTTTTTTATTAAAATATAAGGATTAAAATAATATTTTAACTTTTGTATAAAAAAGACAAATAAAAAAAATTAAAGATTATTATTATTCAACCATATATGTTCCAAAATATAAAAACAAAATAAATTTTCTATGAAGTAGTTATTCATATCTAACAAATAGTCTCAATGGTCCCTAGCTAACAATGACCCCAGTTAGGGCATGCACAATGATGGATATATGAGAAATTTCTGCCTCAAATTTTTGGAAAAATCAATTATGAAGATTACATCAAGAGTTATATATGGTCCATCAAAAAACAAAATTGCCAGGCGTGCCTAATTGTCTGTTGGCCCACCTGTTTTAATTCTCACCACCAAATTTATTTTTGATTGGTTGGGGGTGAATGCTACCTCTACCCAGCTTTTTGGTTTTTGTCTTTATTTATTTATTGTTTTTTATATATTGTCTGGTTAAATTTAAAATCAAAATGCATGGTCAGCAAGCAACACATGGGTATCAACTAGAGTTTGTCAGTCGCGATTGAAAAATATTTAGGGCTGGGCATTTGGAAACCGAACTGGAAAATGAATTTGATTTGGTTTTAATGATTTTTTGTTTTTATTGTTTTGATTTTAATATTAATCGAATAATTTTTAGTTTGATTTTGGTTGAATTTTTAAAAAAATTAAAAACCAAAAATAAGCTTTTGAAAATAAGTTTTAATGATTTTTGGTTTTTATTGTTTTGATTTTAATATTAATCGAATAATTTTTAGTTTGATTTTGGTTGAATTTTTCAAAAATTAAAAACAAAAAATAAGCCTTTGAAAACTAAAATTATGATAAATATGATAAAATATGAGATAAAATATAATTTATTATTAAAAAAATAATTAATTAATATTTATTTAGTAAAATTTGAAATCGAATTGATTTTGTTGAAAACTGAATCAATTAGTTTGTAAAAACTTCGGTTCGATTTCAATTCTCAAAATTAAATTTTTTTTTGGTTATTTTAAAACCGGTTATAATTTTAATCAAAATCGGTTTTTGTCCACCCCTAAGAATATTCATCAATCAATAAATAAGGTCCTCAATA